CTTGGGCTGTATTCAAGAAGCTAGAGGAAGGCTTGAAGGGGGATAACTGAATTCCTGAAGCAGGAAGACAATAGTGATTATTTTTTAGATGACTGGAGGAACAAAAGCTTGTAGGTTTTAGATAAACAGATGACAAAAAGAGCCCATTTGAGATGCCAGACTTGACAAGTAGAGCCCTAAGGGCTTAGAGTTCTCTGAAAAGACAAACATCCTTAAGTGTTTACATCTAAGGCTTCTGAGTGGGATTCTTAGATTTGCTTTGGAGTCTGGTACCCTCCATCTATCAACATTACTGCCCAACCCTACACTCATGGGTTGGGAAAAAACTCCAAGGCTTGCTGCACTGAGGGCTTCAGACTGTTGTTTTTTTAAAGATTTTATTTATTTATTCTTTTCTTTCTTTTCTCTTGTTTCTTTTCTTTCTTTCTTTCTTTCTTTCTTTCTTTCTTTCTTTCTTTCTTTCTTTCCTCCTTTCTTTCTTTCTTTCCTTTCTTTTTTTCTTTCTTTCTTTCTTTCCTTCCTTCCTTCCTTCCTCCCTTGAGAGAGAGAGAGTGCATGTGTACGAGTGAGCGGGGGTGGGGACAGAAGGGGCAAGGGGAGAGAGAGGGAATCTCAAGCAGACCCTCTGCTGAGCGTGGAGACTGATGCAGGGCTCAGTCTCACGACCGTGACATCACAACCTGAGTGGAAACCAAGAGTCAGATGCTTAACCGACTGAGCCACCCAGGCACCCTGGGCTTCAAACTGTTTTCAGTCAATTCCTAGATTAAAGGGAAAGAGATTGGACTCTTGATGAGAACAGTGGCAGTCAAGTATTCATGGAGAGCTTACATGTACCAAGCACTGGTTTTTAACTACTCTATATCCATGACCTACTTCTCAGAACCATTCCATAAGGTAGGTGCTATTATCATCAAGTCTACTTTCTAGATGAGGAAATTGAGCCTGGCTGACTTTATGCATCAAGCCCAGGGTCATGTAACTAGCTGATGCAGTCTGGGGACTAGAAGCCTGGTGGTTGGACTCCAGAGCCTACCCCAACGCTCACTTAGCCTACACTACTAGATGGAGTAATATTTGGTAAAGTTTAGTCTGCAGGACAGACTTTGTACATGGGAGCAAATACTCCCTTCCAGGGTGAAGAGGATATTCCAGGACAAAAGGAATGAAAGGAACCGAACTCAGAAATGTAGTCTTTGCACTTATATAAAATATGAAATAAAATAGTCATGTCTCCAAAATGACTGATAGCTTAGCAAAATGGCCTAAAGAATTCTGGGAGTGAGTTTCTGTGGAACCCAGCTGGGAACACCCATGTGTAATTCAGGCTTCCTCCTCCACGGAAGACTGAGTCAGTATCATTTGAATTGTTGACTGAACCAATATCATTCTGAACTCTTGACTCTGTCCTGGTCTCCAAACTTGGTCCTCCCCTTATGTGCTTAGTAAGTGTTTGATGAATGAAAGAATAATTGAATGAGTCTATCTCTGTTTCTTCTTCCTTCCTTTGTCTTACCACCTCATCTCTGTACTTGCTGCCTATTTCCTAAAGGGAAACACTGGCCAAGATTTTACAATTGCTCCTAATGGCCTGATATGAAACACAAACTTGTCTGATCTTCAGGTTCACCATTAACCTACCAGATCTTCATCCAAACCCTCCCTACCCAAAATCCACCATTTGTTTTGGCAACACTTACCTGTGGCCAGGAGACTCTTTGACCTTGTGTGTCCTTTTCCTTGGAATGCTCTCCCTTACTCTTATCATTAATTAGTATGTAGACCCTCAAAACCAGAAGGGACCTTGGAGATCAAGTCCAACCTTCAACCTACAGCTGGAAATCTCTTCAAAACATCCTTGACCCACCATCAACCAAGCCCCACTTTGAAGATGATCCTTCGTTTGCCACATAAAGTTGTTATTAAACACTTACTTCTGTTAAGAAACCTTCCCTCATTAATTAATAAATCATTCAGTGACTCATTTGTTTTTCAGACACAGTGAATATCTATTATGTACCAGGAAATGTGCCGGGTTATGGAGGACATGGAAATGAATAAACCATGATTCCTACACACTGTTCTTTAGACTCTGACAGACTGGGTCTGCAGAAGAACAGATATGTGAGCAATATTACCATAATTCTGTAAGATACACTATCAATGTGTGTACCATATGTAATGATGGGACAGAAACGCAAATAATTAGCAATTCCTCCTGGGAGGAATAGGGCTTGGTCTAGGAGGACATCACAGTGGAAACACTGAGAAGCTAAGTCTTAAAGGATGAGTCTGGGAATATTCAAATCAACAAGGTGGAATGAGGTGGCCACAGGCTGAGAATCCCAAGCTTACTGTACACTGATAATTCCTTCATATCATATTACTTTAGGCTACTAAATGATTTGTATTCACTGGAAGAGTAATTTGTACATTGCCTGGGGCTCGGTGAATCGGCCTAATCCTTTTAGAAAGCAATCCGGTAAAATAAATTGAGAACTTTACAAGGGCCATACCTTTGATCTAGTAATCACATCTGTAGGACTCTACCTTGAGGCGTCAATATGAAGATAATATATATTAGATCAGTAAATTGGGAAAGAATTGGAAAATGAGCCTCCAATATGCTTCATTGAAAAAATCAGCAAATAAACTATGGTACATTTATTGGAGGAATCATTTATCATGCAGCTCTTAGTTTTGAATATTATATGACAACTTGGAAATACTTACTAACTGAAAAAAGAGCAACAAATGTGTGCATATGATTACAACTTTATTTTAAAATCATATACATAACAAAAAGGGTCTAAGAAGAAATGGTGCCAAAATGCTAATTAAAAAATGGGCTGAAATGAGGTAAGTTTGGGAGGTCTGCTCCCTTCTTTTCTCTATTTTCAAACTTTCTGTTACATGGTTGATTTGTTCCCTTATAGTCTGTAAAGAGTTTTGTGTGTGTGTGTTTTGTTTAATCTACAGAATGAATTTCACTCTCTACAAAACCGGGGTATGAACGTCTTCCAGAAGCCACTAAATCTAGTTCTTGGGTTTTTTTTTTTTTTTCCCTCTTCTCATTACTTTGTAAAGTGCTCAAGTCTGGACACATAGTGGATGTCCATCCAGTGATATGGTAGCTGACAAAGTACACATATATCCCTACACTCTGCTTTCCTGGCGCCTCGAGACCATTAAGAGAAACAGCAATACTTGACAACACAGCTTTTTTATGTGCTAGACATTCTTCTAAGCACTTCGTAGATACTAATTCATTAAATACAACAATCCCACGAGGTAGATATTATTATCATTAATTATTATTTTATTTATGTATTTACTTACAGCTAAAGCAAATTGAGACACATAAAAGTTAGCCACTTACCCAAAGCTGTCCAAACAGTTGGTCACAGAGCCAGGATTTGAACCCAGGGGATAAAGCTCTAGTGTCTCTGCTCTTAAGGCCTCAAAAGAGGAAGCTTTGGAATAGCCAGCTCTCTGGACAGGCAGGCAGGCAGGCGAGAAAAACCTACATGGATAGCTGGGTGGTCGGGGAGGGGGACTGGGGTTGGAGGGTTGGGGGTTGGGCGACAGAGCCCAGGGATTTTTAATGTAAGCCACTTCCCCAGTGGAAGCCTCAACTGCTGGCAGCAACTTCTGTCTGACAGGATGGCAGACACAGAGGAGTGGCATCTGGAGTACGCGCGATCACCTCTGTGTGAACACCCAGTTCAGTGCCAGAGAGGGGTCAGCGGTCAGTAGCACTCAGATAAAGATAAAAAGCGTAAGGAGCTACATGTTTACCTCAACCAGGTCCTGGCCTGTTGTTCCTGAAGCAGGTATAATGATTGTTCCTTCTCTGGTGAGTTTACTTAGATTACAAAGTACAGATTTTGCCTGGAATTTTAGAACCCCAGAACGAGAACAGACCTTTTATAGCCATCTACTTCAGACCCTGTCCATCCCTCTACCCTTCACACACACATATTTGTATAAACAGAAGAGGAGAAATATCCATGAGAAATAACAAGCTTGGGACCTGGTGCACAGAGAGGCATCGGGAGCCCCCTATTACAAGTGATGAACCAAAGCAGGAAGGAGCTATTGTGCAAACGCAACGATAGGTCCAATGACAAATCACCAAGTGATTCTTCTGATGGATCTGACTGATGATTCTCCACACATTCTAGATTGAGTAAATGTTGAGATGATGTGGCTGACCTCTTGGTCCTATGTTTTTAATTCATTAGTTCCAAATCTTGTGAAGAGGCTTCTCAAATATCCACCCCAATAAAAGGTCAGGATTAGTCACAAGCAACCAAGAGCTTGAAGGCAGCTAATCTAAACTAGTACATGTATAATGGAGAACTCATGGCCTTTAAACCACATGTGAAATGACTGTGTTCCACCAACCTATACTACATGCACTCTTGCTTTCCAGCCTTAGCCAAGAATAGCAAGAGGCTCTGTAACTAGAAATCTATACCTCTCATCCCCTACACAAAACAACCCACCTTTTTAAGAGAAAAGCTGACACTTTACCCAGCCCCAGCTGAGTAGAGTGGTGGCCTCTCCTATATTCTCCATGTCAAAGATGTAAGTATCCTTGGCCCGAGTGTCCTAGGATTACTTTACTCTTCCTTAATGGAACTTTCATTCTTAAATTTCAAGTTTCACTATTTCCCTTTTATCAATGACAGAAACCATGGAAAGGGGCCTGAGAGACCAAACTTCTCATTTCATGGATGAGAGGAAGGCCAAGAAGAAGAGTGTATCACCCTAGTGTCAAGATGATAATAAGAGTTGCTCCTGGTTCTCATTCCAGGGTTCCTTCTGTCCCACCCTCCTCACTTTCATGTGGCACTGAAGGTGACACTGTGTAGCCATGAAGCCCAAGAAGATGCAGGGACTGCCCCTGTCATTTCCCTAACCCCTTTCCTTGCCCTCCATGCAGACCCCCCTGTGTGAACCTCCCCCAGGTAGAAGGAAAAATCATGTGATCTTACTCATCTCCATGTACTCTGGAGTCAGTCCAGTGTATGGCTCCAAGCTGTAGTCTAGGTCCCACTGCTCTGGATGCTTTGAGTGGGCAGAGTCAGTTTCTCCAGGTTCTGTCTCATCTTTCAGCTTCCGAAATAGTTTCTTTAGCTTCCTGGGAAAGAAATGGACCAGTCACCAAAAGCCTCTGGAGGACAGAGTTAGTTCTATAGACTGAAGGAGAAAAAAAAAACAAAAAACAAAAAAACCAAACTAGGGCTTTTTGACATTAAAGTCATCTCTGCTCCAAGGACTGAGAGAGGGACACTAAAAAGACTACTTTTCTCTTTAAGACAACATGAGGTTTTTTAATAGGATGAAGAAAGGTCCCCCCCACAAAGGGTCTGGTTTCTTCAGACCCAAAGAAACTGAACTCTTCCTACTGTTTGAGAAGCAACAAGACAATTGGCCCTTCTTGCCAAATGTTGAGACCATCCTATTATATAACAGGTGATCTGTCCATCCTCTTCATGGGGAAAGAGGACGTCTAGAAAATACTAGAAAGATGCTCTCTTCCCAGCTCAAACATTTTCAGGTCTTAATAACATAAACACCATCATATTTCCATCAAAGCCAACCTAAATGTTGTCTACCACTCTTATGGGTTAAATTGAATCTCCCCAAGATTCATATGTTGAAGGGCTAACCCCAGATGTGACTGCATTTGGGGATAATAGGGCTTTTAGGAGGTAATTAAGATTAGGTGAGGTCAAAAAACTGGCGTCCTAAATCCAATAGGATTGGTAGTCTTATAAGAAAAGGAAGAGACAGTGATCTTTCTCTCTCCACTATGTGAGGAGGACACAGTTAGAAGGTGGTTATCTGCAATCCAGGAAAGTGGCCCTCATTAGAAACCAAACTCTGCCAGTCCTTGATCTTGGACTTTCCAGCCTCCCAAACTGCGAGAAATCAGTATCTGTTGTTTATGCCACACAGCCTATGATATTTTGTGATGGCAGCTCTGAGTAGACTAAGTCAACCAAACTAATAATGGATTAAGTGAAATGATGTTTATACAATCCTTAGCATAATATCTGGACACAAGAGGCATTCAGTGATAATAACTATTATTATTTTTAGTATTAAATGCTAAAATATGCCTGAGGGCATAGTTTTTTCATACTTTCCATTGATACACCATCCCAGAGAATGAAATCGGGTAAAGGAACAAGGTACCAGTTGTGCTGATCAATCTAGAAGAAAGTTTCTAGGAAATAGTTGGGAGGAGAATTAGTAGCAGAACAGTCAGAATCATTGACTTGAAGAGTTAAAGGGATTTTGAAGTCCATGCTCCATCCAATGCAGGAATTCCGGCCACATTCCCCACATGGGATCATCTAACCTCTATGGAGCTATTTCCAGAAGAGCGTTCTCAATATTATTTAGGTATGGCTTTCATTGTTGGGATATGCTCCTGACAGTTAGTGGAAATCTAATGGTTCAAAATAATGTTTTGTTTTTTTATGTTATGTTAGTCACCATACAATACACCATTAGTTTTTGATGTAGTGTTCCATGATTCATTGTTTGCGCATAACACCCAGTGCTCCATGCAGCACGTGCCCAATCAGTGTCCTGTGTAATACCATTTGCCATCAAGAAGACGTGGTATAGTGGTGTAGTGTAGTGGGTAAAAGTCTGATCTTTGATGGCAGAAAATAATTGCTTAAAACCTAGGTTTACAACTCACCAGCTGTATTTTCTTGGACAGGCTATTAAAACCCCATAAGATTTAATTGTATTATCTATGAGAAAATAAATATTAACTAGCCCAAAGGGGCAGTTAAAGGAGATAATCTATGTAACATGCTTACCCTTATGGCTTGGTACATGCTAAGAGCTCAGTATATTTATCCTTGTCCCTGTGGTCACCACCACCACCACCATCATCATCATCACCATCACAGAAGGATTTAAAGAATGAGATCCACAGAAGCAGCAGTAAAATACAGTATTTCATAATAAAAGAGCAAGCAGTAATTCTGTGATAATAAGAAATTAAGAAAAACCTAGGTGGAGCCTAAAGATTCTGAAGCCAAATAGGTGTGGACTGGCTGAGACCCTGTCTACAGGTCAAGACAGAAGGCGAGGTGAAGAAAAACTAATAAAGGAGAGAGAGAAGAAAAGAAAAAAAGGAAAAGGAGAGAGGGAGGGAAGGATGGAGGAAGGGGGAGGTCCAGAATCAGTACTCAGACTGAGACCTTTCCTCCAGATGCCAGTAATCGGAAAGCTTGGCCAAATCTTTAGTAAAGAATAGTCAGTGGTTTTAATTAAATATGGACAATTGAGCACATTCCACTTCTGAAATGCTACTAAAATGACAGTGAATGAATTTTAAAATGTCTAAAACCACAAGGTTAAAGAAAAGAGTCATGAGTACAACAGTGTATGAGAGATGTTAATAAATATTTTGGAAGACAGACAGTGGATAAAGGGGTTAACAAAGCCGTGATGGCTGAATACCAAGTCCCTACAGTGAAAGACAGCAGAGAAATGCAAGCCAGCTCATGCTGCAATCTCAGAAGTGTTCAGGAGTTTCAGGTACCAGGTACCATCAAAGGCAGGCAATAGTGATTGGTCAATGCACTGTTTAAGGAACAGTAGACCCTAGTGTCTCTGTCCACCCATATTGCCCAGGTGACTGACTACCATTTTCCCAATACCAGCAGGAGTAAAAAGTTTATTCAGAGGAAAAAATGAACTGGGGAAATTCTAGATCTGCCAAAAATCCAATAAAATGATAGGAAGTTAAAGAATAAACTCACAGAAAAAAATAGAAAAGACAAATAAATGGACAATAGGAAAGAAAAAATAAGAAAATTAATCAGTCTAGCAACTCCAGCATTTAATCAGAAAGAGAAGACAAAGAAAATGGCGAAGAAAGTATAAGGAAATACAAGAAAACATCTCAGAGCTGAAAGATATGCATTTTCGGATTGGAAGGACCCACTCAGCATAATGATAAGGAAAAGGACTTCCACCAAAGCCCATCATCATGAGATTTCACCACTCTAGGAATAATGAGCAGGATTCCAAAAGCTTCCATGTCCAGAGAGACAGATTCTCTAAAACAAAAAAAGAAATTCTCAACATCAGCCCTTGACACTAGAAAATACTAGAAAACTCTATTAATATTGAGAAGGCAAATCGATTTTTAGCAAGGGATTTTATACCCAACCAAATTATACATCAAGTGCAAAGAATAAAGAAATGTAAACCATGCAAGGTTTTAAAAAAAGATATCCTTCTACGCATCCACCCTCGTGAAGTTCTTGGAGGATGAATTTCACCAACCAAAGATATAAAACAAGAAACAAAACAGTGGAATCCAGCAAACAAGAAATCCATCAGAACAAGGAAGTGCTGGATCTAACTGGGATTGGTAGCTATGTAGAAAGTTTAGTGAACAAACAGTTTTGGTTTGAACAAGAGAATAAAGATTCCCAGAGGATGGTCTCCAGGAGAAAACATGACATCTGATGTGTTTCATGAGGTGATCTCTCTGGGAAAGTGGACACTTAAACAAGTGCTACCAATAATGTGTAAAGAGTATTATGAAGGGAGAAATTTAGGTAATTATGAAAACAGAAAACTAACCTGACCTAAATCAGGGAAAGTTTTCCCCGAGAAAGAGATGTGTAAACCAACTAAATGATGAAAGATGACAGAAGTATGGAAAAGAGGGAGAAGGTGTGTTCTAGGCAGAGGAGGTTATCTGTGCAATGGCCCAAGGCAAATACGAGAACGGCTCAGAGAAGGGACTGAAAGGAGTTCAAAATGCTCAGAGCAGAGAGTAGGACACAAAAAGTGAGGAAAGAGAAGAGTGAAAAGGTAGTGCAAGTTCACAGCATGAAGGCCTTGTCGGCCATCTTAGGCAGTGGCTGAGGTGAGAGATTATGGCCCCAGAGTCCACAGTAACCACAGTGGACATGAGGACAGACTGAGACAGGCTCAGGAAGCAGAGTTAAGAAGCTGGTGGTGACCCGTATGAGGGAAAGAAAGCAGAATAAGGAACTAAGGACCATTCTGGGGTCTTTGGGCATGGGTGTGGATGGTGGTACATTTTGCTAAGACAGGAACACTAAAGAAGACGCCATTTTGATGAAGGGGTGGAGGAGGAATGGTTGAGGCAGAGGATCCCACGTGACAACCAAGTAGGGATATCTAGTAAGCATTTTATACACAGATCTAGAGCCCTTAAGACAGGTCTGAGTGGAAGCTAACAATAATAAGAATCATCCTGGAGAGAGGAACCAAGACCATAGCAATGAGCCCCACCTGTGTGTGGATGGAGCACAGGAAAGGAATTCCAATAGTCAAGGGATAGGGAGAGGGAGTGGAGCCTTCCAAGGGCAAAGAAAGCAGCCATTATAGGAACAGAAGGTCAACTGTGAACCCATGTGGCAAAGAAGGGGAGGGTGGAAGGGGTGTTTCAGGAAAGACTTCAGCCACAGTGTTACACACTGTGGGGAGGTCAAAGACAATGAGGGGGAAAAAAGTCCACAAATAATTCTTATGCACCCCCTTCTTCCCAGAAGCTCCCCTCCTGGAGATCTCCGTGAGCATTAAAAAAATTAATAAAGAAAGTCCCTAGAGAACAGGATTTAACAGGAATCCTGCAAATTGTATAACATACAGACGGGTCGTTTGGAAAACTTCAGATTATGATTCTGACCGTATGATGCACTCGCCTGTTAAAATAACTCCTTTGATGTTACCCCCTTGTCCTTTTCATCTGCTCTGCTATTTTTCCGTCCCTTTTTAATGACAGGTCTGAGAAACTGTCCGGAAGGCTTGGAGCCTTTCCTTTGCTTGTGCCCCATGGGCTCACCCCAAGACCATGGTGATTGTCTGTCACACCTTAGGCCTTCCTGCCACAGGGATCTGGGCCGCAGGCAGCTCTCCACAGACCTGGCTCCACATGCCTCAAGCCTCATTAGAGAAGGCAGAACCAAGCCCTAAATGGGCCAAAGAAGAAGAACATAGCAACCTCTGAGCTATGTATTCCTTTCCTTGACACCTGACAAGGTTCAAATTTGTTCCTTAAACTTCTGATTCATGGCCAGATTCCACTGTCTTTGAGAACACAGACCTCCTTCGCCTGTGATGGCTTTAAAGAGAGACTGTTTTATGTCTTGAAATGTAATATTTATCACATTTACTGAAAAAAAAAGCAGAAAGTTTATAAAATCTTGCTGGCCATGTCCAGGGTACATTACAGCTATTTTGGGATGTGATCTGGTGTTTTTAGTAAGAATAGGGATGGGGGGACATTTTGCTGGTGGGAGTATTCATGTATTTGCTCTGTCTGCCTTGGACTTCACCCAGGGGAGAATCTGGCATTTGAAAAAGATAGCATTTTATTTTTTATCCAAAAAAAATCCTTCTTAATAATAAAAGGTCCATTTCCAGTTTTGCTTCAAGGAAGACTGGAGCTAAGTTTGAGATAAAATTATGGTGAGAAGTTGGGATGTGGGGCGGCATGTTTCAGGGGCCCCATGCAATCTGGATGCAAAGTCTATCTTGCACAGACCCATGTGGGAAAGGCGGGGTATGTGGGGCAGCAGCAGGGGAGAATGGAAACCCCTGTCAGGGGACTCAGGTAATAAATAGCGCAAGATCCGATTCTGCCACACCGCCCGCCATGTCTGAAGTCATCTCAGATGGAGCTGCCGATGAGCATTGTTCTGGGGCCTGTAATGTTTAAAACCATCCAGCGCCTCTCTGGAAAGCATCTGTCACAACTGTGTCAGGCCCCAGGAGCCTGGGGATGCTGAGTGGGGATAGTCCAATGCCAGATCACGCAACTCAGTTTTATTTATTATCATGTCCTCAATTAGTCGCAGAGCTGCCTTTAAAGAGACCACTGCCCCCAGTTTCACTGCCTCCCTTTGAAGCACTGTGTTCCTTTCATCCGCAGGGCCTCTGAATCCAGGCCTGGAGGTCTCTACACTGGGCCTTCATCTCATTAGAGCATCTGGGAGAATTCTTTCCTTCCCTGCTCTCGTTCAGCCCCTCTGATGGCGGTCAAGGAGAAAACCCCAGTCTGCTGCTGGCATGCCTTTAACAACTCCCCAGTGCCTGTCCAGCTTCCTTTATAACAGAGAGAATGCAGATCTTAGGCCGATGTCATTGGTTGTTTAATAGTGTTTACTTTTATCATATTTCTTTCTACTGTGAGTTGCTATTCATGATAGCTGGCAGTGTTCATTTTCCATTTTCAGAAATGTTATGAATTTAAAAAGTGAGTTGGTTTAGAGGAAATGAATAGGCAAATAGCTGTTTAGGTAGATATGGAGAAAAAAAACTAAGAGTTAGCTTACAAATCACTCAAGATTGGGTAAGAATGTTCTACAAGAAACCTACTGGACTGTAAGATTCTCAAGAGCATCAGAATTGTGGTTATGGTACTTTTTGGAAGACACACACACAGAATCTAATAAGAATGTTTCACCCTCAGGGAGAGAGAGAAATTATAGCTGACTGGCTACTGATAATAGTCAATTAGATAGTCTTTAATATTTCAAAATTTTCTTTGGAAGAATCTTAAAAAATCACTTTCAGAAGCAGATGATAAACTTTTTTTTTTCAATTACTTGTTTATTTCAGAGAGTCTTTCACTCCACTAGAAATTCTCAGTTCTTTTTTTTATCATTATGTTATATTAATCACCATACATTACCTCATTGGTTTTTGATGCAGTGTTCCATGATTCACTATTTGTGCATAATACCCAATGCTCCATGCAGAACGTGCCCTCCTTAATACCCATCACCAGGCTAACCCATCCCCCCACCCCCCTCCCCTCTAGAACCCCTAGTTTGTTTTTCAGAGTCCATCGGCTCTCATGGTTCATCTCCCCCTCCGATTTCCCCCCCTTCATTCTTCCCCTCCTGCTATCTTCTTCTTTTTTTTTTTTAACATATAATGTATTATTTGTTTCAGAGGCACAGATCTGTGATTCAAGATAAACATCTTCTAACTGTATAATCTTATATCTTTTATCCCAAGTGTTCTTAACTAGCATAATCACCTACCTAACTCCTCAGACTTGCTTCTGTTTTTAAAAATTAAATCTGGCCTTTAAGACTAATATTTCTCTCTTCTGGGGAAAGAATCTGAAGGTACATGAGCCAAAAGCCATTAAGCCCTGAACAGAAGAGAAAAACAGTGCTCCTGACTTGGTCTTCTCAATCTCATTCTTGGACTTGCAGCACTCACAAAGCATCACTTACAAATGTAAAGGTAATGATGCTCAGTACACCTAGGCCGCCTGGAACCCCGGAGAATGGTTCCTCCTTTCTTGGACTCCTTATTTTCTATTTTCTAGACAGCTGGGCATTCATCTAACCTTTATTTTTACATAAGCCATGTTGCATGAAAATCCTTTTAGAATAACTGTAACAAGGTCACACAGTGAGTATATTATAATGCCTCAATTTAAACCCAGATCTGTTGGACAATCTCTGTCCTACTGAGATGTGCTACCTCCACCACAGAATTCAAGACCACTGAGTCTAAGTTTTATAATTTATACCTCTCCTTCCTCACTGTCAGGTTCAACTGTCATTTCTCTTTTGACTATGAAAGACTCCTTCTATTTTCTTGCTTATGTCATGTTTCTCAACGGTGTCACACATAAGGATATCACCAGGTGCTTGAACTCTGGATTGGGTGGGGTCTAATTTCTAGAGAGTGGGCTCTGAGTAGGGAGTGGAAAAATCCAATAATCACTACCATAGTGATTTCAGGTTGCCAAACTCAGAATACAACCTGTAGAATTACAAAGAACTTTGGAGATAAAAGACACTGGGGATTGGTAGAAGAATTTTTGCTCTACGTCCTCAGGGATTAACTACATATTCATTATTATAATTAACTACATATCTTATATAGTTAATATATGTATATATGAAATTAATTACAAAATTACATTGTATGTTTCCTCTAGCAGACTAGAAACTGAAATGAGGAACAATCTTTTGAAACAGAAGTGACCTGTATTTGGAACCAGCAGTGTCCAGTTTCACTGAATAGAGGAGAAGTTCACTGAATGTCAGAGCTGAAATGAGAACACCTTAGAGATGATTCTTATGCCATCATTTTCATCAAGAGAGGAGGACAGCAAGACTTAAAGAAGTGACTTGCCCATAGCTTTATGAGCCACTGTGCAATTGCCATCAATTAAAGTGTGGCATATTAAACATGCATCAAGCATAAACAAGAAAATTTAGCCTTCAAAGCAAATAGCCGTGTGTTACTTTCATCTGTTATGGAGCCAATGGAGTTGATGGGTGGGGGGACATGCCAATACCTTGTCCAAACATATGCCTGAGCTCTTGTCTCTCTTATCCTCTATAAAGGGCCTCTGGGTCCAGAGTGAATGGACTAAGTGATAGAGCAGATGTCCAGGGATGAATAAATCTCATGCCTGCAAGCTGTATACAATTCCATCCAGAGCAGAATAACGACACACTGGAAGGACAGGTGTCTTCCCCAGATGTCTGAAGGAGAATGGAGACTTTCCTTTGTAGCAGGAGTGGATGGGCTGGTCATGTAGCTTCAAAGGAGCCAGATGTGGCTTTGGTACATCTTTTCTTGGTCTGTATATTTTCTGGATGTTTATCCATAACAAATGTGGTCTCTCTCTGAGAGGGTAAGCTCCTAGAGAACGGTGGCCATGTGTTTCACCAGCTTCACTTGACTATCACCGAATGACTTTCGATCAGAAAGCTGGGAACAGGGCACACTTTCAGAGGGCGGAGTTTCTCAAAAGTGATCACTTCCTGACCGGTGACTAGAGGCTGGCTTAAGCAGGAAGGTGCAACAGGATGGCCAGACACGACATTCTTACCCATCCTCCTCCAATAAAAGCACATACCCAAGGGCTACCCACAACTATCTCAGAGTGAGGGCAGGAAAACACCCAAAGCATTGAGCCTAAGGAATGGTATGTGAGCACCAAAAAGCAATAGAAACGCAAGATGGGGGGGGGGTTTACATTTTTCTTTGACCTGAAGGTAGATTTTCATTATTGAGTTTTGATTTCTTTTAGATCCAGTGCCTATGAGTCACCTATCTCCATGCAACACCTAACTGAAAGAGGTCCTTCTGTGAAATTTGTATCAAATCATGTGGGAGGGGATAGAAGATCCATGTGAAGATCCAATCTGAGCTTTACCAGCTCTGCATCCTTCCGCTCCTAAGATCACATATCCCACACCTTCTTAGAGATTGCTCTAAATTATTACACAGTATTTCAAACTTTCGTATTCATTTATATCCACCATAATGAGAGTTCTTTTTTACTTACTTAGTGGGAAGACAGTGAGCATTAAACATATTTTACACTTTGAGGTCTGAGCTACCTGACTCCTAGCTCTGCCACTTAGTCCTTAGGTTGCTGAAGCAAGTGCTTATTAATCTTTCTGAGCTTCAAACCTCCCAAATCAGATCGGCAAACAAGCCTTGTGGGAGGGGCCCTGCCTCATGGGGAAAATTATTGGCAAGTGGGACAGAGGAGTAAATAACCAGGCTCTCTGAGAAGAGGAGGCCGGGAACACCCTGCTGGAAGTCTGGCCCTGCTGGGCTAGGCCCTGGTGGCAAGCGGACAGGGAAGAGGAGTTCATTACATACGGGACTCCAATCTCAAAGATGTTGTTCTGGATCAGCTGCTTCCCCAACATGATGATGCTGAGCTGAATGCAGAGCTCCATGAGGCAGCCCCCCGGAGCACACTGCCCGGAAAAGAAGATAATGGAAGATGTGGTTAGACCAAGTGGAGCTCAGAGAAGCAAGGGCAAGAAGTGAGGCACGCTGCAAGGGGGGACGGCCGGGGCCAGGGGTGCACCTGCACACCACCAGCCGGGTTGTACTTGCCTCTTCCATGCGGTAACCATCGAACACATAAACATAGCTTCCAGGTCTGCCCACGAACCTGAAATCCAGAAGTGTGGGAGAGTTAGGGAAGGAGAAGGCAGGGTGGCTAGAAGCCTGCCTTCTGAGTGGAAGAGGAAACGCCCAACAGCCTCCTGGAAAGAACTGGCCAGGGCAGGGGCCCAGCTCACGCAGGGGTGGGCGTGGACACCGCGTTACTGGCTAGCTGTCACCTGACCATCGAGGGTTCACCTCTTAACCCGAGTTCCAGGGGACAGGGGCTGAGGCTGGGGCTGGTGTGGGGCTGGGAAGGTCCTGTGTGTGACAATTTCTGAGCCTCAATGCCACACTGTTTGGATTATCCCTAAGTGTACTATCTGTGCACCTTCCTCCCTCAACGAATGTTAAGAATTGAGTTCTTATCGAGGCTCCTCGGTGGGAGATTCTGATTTCCCAGGAAATGGAGGGTGGAGACAGGCCAAAGTTGCAAGTAGGGATTCCTGGGATCAGAAAAGAAAAATCCAGACTTCTTAAGAATATTCAAAGGCATGGAAGCAGCCTGCCTCCTTCCTTTTCCAAGTTGGGTCTATCTTACTGGACGACAAGAAGATAGGGTTGGGGGGGGGGTTAAGCAGAGAGGAAAAAGCCAATCACGGAACCAGCCAGGTAATGAGAAGACTCCTTCTTACTTGAACTGTTAGTCCTTCATCCACCTATGGAAATCCTAGCCATCTATTTAAGGCTCAGCTCAAATCTTTCCTTCTCTGTGAAGTCTTCTGTCTCTGCTCACAATTATTTCCCCAGCACTTTCTTTATACTTCTATGATAGCAATTCATTGCTGGTGCTGATGATAAGACCATCTCTTTCAATAGACTACAAATTTATCTAAGGGTCGGGACCCTATTTTTTGGCCTGAAATATCTATGTAGGAAATTTGCTATTGATATTAAATCTAGAGTGAAAGCACTAGTGGATTATATACCCATTAATATGGATAGTCTCTCTGCTACTATAATTTCATACGAGTCAAGGGCAGAGATCCCAGGAAGGGGGGTTGTGGTTTCCGTCACAAACCTATTTATAAGAAACTATCAAATATGCACAATAATAGCTCTTGCTATGGATGCCTGCTTGATGAGATTTTAGTGCTAGGGAAGCTTTTCTGACAAAGTTAATGCCTACTAGGAAATCTCCTTATAGGTAGCCAGCTGATCTAATTGTCAGAAGTGATTTTACAGCTAGACACGTTGCATAATAAAGAATCTGACTGGCCTTTGTTGCTGGTTCTTGGAGAAGCCTCTAAATCCTTAGAAATTCCCCACAGGATTCTCTTTGTTATTGATAGTTGGGATCTTGAGACTATACCTAAATTTATGCTAATGAGATCACTCAGGATGGGGGAGGCCACGCCACAGAAACCAACTGTGTGATTAGAGGGTTGGGCCTTTCATCCAGGTAGTAGCCGCCTGACCTCAGGGGAGGGAAGGGGGGTGGAGGCTGAGCTCAGTCACATGGTGAGTGCTTCAACCAATCACATCTGCATACTGCTACCTTACAAATTCTGGGCAAAGAGGCTTGGATGAGCTTCCTGGTTGGTGGGACACATCAGTGCGCCAGGAAACTAATGCATCCTGAGGATCTGAAAGCTTCTGTTTAGGACCCTTGTAAACCTCACCCTATGTGCCTCTCCCACTTGCTGGTTTGGATTTGTACCCCCTTTCTATAGTAAAACTGTAATTTTAAGTACAGGACATTCCTGAGTTCTGTGAGTCATTCTAGAGAATTAGCAAACCTGAGGAGTTAGCGGCTGTAGCCAGTTGGTCTGAATCATGAGTGGCATAGGAACCCCAGAGCCTGCAGCTAGTGTCTGGAGTGAGGGCAATCTCGTGGAAGACTGTGCCCTTAGTGTGCGAAGTCTGCACTAGCTCGGGGCAGCTGGTGTCAGAACTGCATTGCAAGACCTATGAGCCCCTCGTGAGACCTGAAATTCTTTCTTATCTCATGCTCAATGTTGGGAGGCCCAGATTATTCTAAGACTCACCCTCTGGGGCCCAGGGTCAAATCCCTGTAGTTTCTCTGGTTATCAGAATCCGAAGATTCTAATCCAAAATGACATAACGCTTATGCCACCGCTTCATGGAACAGTGCAGTGGGGATGGAGATGGGGAATGGGACTGTGAATTGAGAGATGAAATTGAAATGAGAGTGTGAATTGACAGTGGGGACAAGCTGACTCTAGCGGGGGACCCAGTCTTAGAGACAAGTTGCACTTCCATGTGTGACACCATTATACTCACCTCCCCTTGAAAAAGGCCACATAGAAGATGGGTGAGTAGGCATTGACAAACTTTAGCAAGAAAGCTTTGAGTATCAGGCGTTCTTCAAAAGTCTGTTCTGTTTTGGGAACCTCTGAAAGAAAAGAGCAACACTGGTAAGACTGAGAGACAGATTTTCACCTCTTCAGAGTTTTAATCCTGACTACCTGAACCATTCATTGTCTCTCGGCTCTCATTCCTTCAGGGTAGAAACCAAACGATCTATCTCTGGCAAATTAGAACTGAACTCATCTGGGAGGTCCCAAATGGATTGCCAGGTACTGTGAAGCCACAGAAGGCAAAGGGTACACAGAATCATCACCTTTCTCCCTCCACTTCCCTCCTCTTAGCCACTCCAGCAGTGGTTTCCATGCTGTACTCCTGTAAGGGGGATGTGAGCAAGCAGAACTTCCTCTAACCACCCTCACTTCATCAAGGGGAACACAGCTTTTAACTGTGTGATTGCCACTTCCATAAGATTTTATTTGAACCAAAGTCCCTGATGAAAAAGTCTTGTTAACCAATGAACTACAGTCAACAGGCAGCAAAGACTTGTCTTGGGTACCACGACATTTTTCCTCTTTCTCGCCTCCTTCATTTCCAGCAGGAAAGCCTGCATCTGTATGCTCTCTGGATAGACTGGGACACCTTATACTCACTCGCTCAAATGATGGAGAATCATCAGATAAGCGAAACGAACATAAGCCTAATGTCTCAAACTCGGGGGTCAGAGCCCCAGCGAATCCTGTGAGGTTCAAGGAGAGGAGTCAGCACATAATCCCCCAAGGACCCTAAGAAACACTGGCAGAAACCTCACTGATGCCTTCCGAAGACTCGAGACCCGTGGGATGTTCTGGTGGACAAGAGGGCATAGTGTTTGCTGGGGATTCACAGATTGTGACAAACGGCTCGGCAAAGATAGGAGGTTACAGGGCCACACTTCAGAGGCAGAAAGAAAGCACTAGCCCTGCATGGTGCGCACTGATAAATATCACCTGAAAGTGTGCCAAGCACAGGGCCAAAGTATCAGGACCATGCCAGCCAGGAGGTTCTGTGTCCAGATAAGGTTGATGCCCGGGCCCATCTGACTTGTCTGCCCACCTGCCTCACACACAGCTTTAGTAGGAATCTTTGGAAAAGTGGGTGCAAAACTCTGTTCCCTCTCCTGGCATTCCCTTCCTTGTCCCATCCCCTATGTACAAATCCTTCACATCCTTTGGCAATCAGATCAAATGTTGCCTGTAATCTCCTTCCCAAAGCCTTCCCCGATGACTTCAGATGGTAGTAATCTCTTTTTCTTCTATAGTATTTTATATTTCTCCTTATTAATTACCTACTTCCACGCCCTCCAAAAATCATAATAGGAGGTTTCATTGATCTTCTGTCTTAGTTGGGGTTACCTGCTGCTATGTCAAGAAGTAAGTAGTTTATTTGGGAAGTGCTCTCAGGAAGCTTTGGTGAGGGAGTGGGGTAGTGAGCCAGAGAGGGAAGGGAAGGCAGCACGCATGTGTTCTGAACAATTGAAGGCCGCAGGCGACTGGGGCTCAGTCCCCTTGGGGACCTTCTAAGAGAAGGTGAAACACCCCTCATAATTACTACACTGAGGAGTGAGCAAGTGGAGTCCCTCACTGGGTGAAGGGTACCACTGGACTTGACTCTCCAGCACTTCTGCCTTGTCGTATGCATGGGCTGAGCATGCTCACAACCGCAGAATGCCTGCAGGCAGGGAGCGGCGGGGACTTCCAGGGAGGCCAAAGGGATATGTGTGCTGTACAGTAATGTCTGCTCCACGCTGCTCCATGGGTGGCATTGCACCCAGGCGCACACACCTGCTAACTCGTTTCCTCCTTACCTACCTATGTGAGAGGGTAACGCATCTCACTTTTACAAAGAAAGGCAGCTGAGGTCCAGAGGGGTGAGAGCCTTGCTCTAGATCACACAGGCCATAAGTTCGGGTTACATAAGAGTTAAGGTCTGAACCCAGATCCACCTGTCTCCAAAGATGATGTTTACTCCACCACACTGTGAAATCAGGACCTGGGACTGCTGTCTCCATCAGACCTTCTCTTTCACCTCCCTACCCTCCCCCCCCAGCCCACATGATATGTACCTAAGAAATATTTGTGAGCGGTCAGGTCACATGCATTGAGCACCAGCTGCATGTTGCCAGGGTGAACAGCGACTCCACACTTCCAAACTGCCAGTCTTTTCAAGATTTAATCTGTGAGTGGCAAGGAATCCTCCCCCCTTCTCGTCATGGCTGAAGGGGATCTTAGAGAGAAGAATGCTCTATTTCCATGACCTGTTTTCCCACACAGCACAGTGAGACCCTCATTCATTTGCAATCTTAGAACATAGTCCTGAGTATAAAAGATGATGCCCAATAGCATCAGCGGTGGTCCAAGCATGAGCAGAGACCTACTGAGGAGACTGTTGCAGGCAGATGTCAGCCCATGGGGACCCTTGGCCCTGGGAGTGGCCTTGAGAACCAGAAAGCTTAGCGACGCCATAGTGCTTCTCTCACAGTTGCGATCTTGGCCTCAACTTCTCCCTAAGGCCTGCGAAAATGAGAGCTACTCATCCTCTAGTCATGTCCTAGCCCGCATGAACCCTAAGAAACATGGCATCACCCCTGGGCAGCCAGCAACACTGAAAACTGGTTCATTCTCTGAGAACCCCATCATCCTGAAGCCTACTTTAGTTTGCTTATGCTTTCTAACAGTCCTGGAGGTCCTGGCAGGCCATGCTGAACCTACAGAGCACCCAGTCATGCTATTCTGGGCTCAGCTGTACGTTGAGGGGAGTGACTACTTGCTTGTTTTGCTCCAGAAATGGCCGTAGGGACAGATTTTCACATTAGACACACCTGACTTCAAATGCAGAGTGTAGGTAGGGGACTGAACTTATATAGAAAGGATACCAACATCTCCCTCACAGGTTGTTGAAGACAGGATAGGATACTTATAAAGCCCTCAGCCTAGTGCTTGGCAAGTGCTAGACCTCAATAAACGATAGCTCCTGTTGTCCTAAACAGTGTCCTCTGATGCCATCACCTCCTCCAAGCTGGCAGCCCTGCTTTCTGCAGCACAGTTGGGCCATCTGTGGCCAGGTGTTTGTGCACATCTCTAGCCCCTAAGGTTCTGGGCATTGTTTCCATGCTGATTAATGAGCACTTTCTACCAATCAGTGGAGAGGACAGCTAGTAGGTGACCCTACTGGCACAGAGCTGGGAAGGTCTAATCAAAACAGCCCCTCTCCCCACCTCCACAGAACTCCCAGCCCACACTTCCTGATGTCCTCTAGACAACTTGGGAAATAAACATTGTCTGCTAGGGAACCTAGAGACATTGCCATAATTTTATAGGAGATGAAGCTGGAAAAGTCTCCCGTGATATCCCTCAGCTGGCAGATGGCTTTGTGGTTTTCTGCTTCCTGCCACACCTGGAGGGCCACGGGCACAGCCCCATGAGCTAGAAGTCTGGCCAGTCCCACACTGCCTTGCCCAGCAAGTACTTGGATGATGGTCTGTACTCACCACTCACAGTGAACACTGAGACTTCTTTAGTTTATGGACATAAGCAAAGCCCCACAGATATTTCACCTGTAAGGGCTTTTCCCTCCCTGCTACAAAGTCTGCCCAACCAAAAGGCCAATGTGTTCCTGTTTGACTTACGCTTCTCAAGTCTTCCCTGGGCTCAAGATCCACATCCCCTTCTTCAGTCTGTTTCCTATTTTCCTTGACAAAAGGAAATAATGCTGAGGCCCAGGAAATGCCTGCCACCCATTTCTAAGGTCGCTTTCCATTTTAAGATCTCCTAACTCTGAACTACCACGTGGCCATTAACCCTGGCTCTCCCCAGCCCCACGCCACCCTGGTCCCACCACGCACAGTGTGGATGGCGTTCACACAATGAGCACAGTCAGGTCCACCTTTTGCTGGGCCACGGCTGACACGAGATGTATCAGACTAAGCATATTTATTGAATGAATGAATGAATGACGTGACATGACATGAAAATATCATTTGGAATAGTGAAAAAATATTTATCATTTACTAAAAATTCCCTGTGGGTATGAAATCACAAGAAAGCAATAGCTGAAAGAGAGTGAACTCGCCCTCATTGCAATTTCAATTTTATTTAATTAATTTAAATTTCCCTATCTTATCCACGAGATAAGAGATGGGGGTATTGGAGTTAGATGCAGGACCTAGAAGGGCTATAGCCCCTGCCATGGGAGGGACAGAGAAGGACAGGAGGTGAGGCAGAGCCCCTGCCAAAGAAGAAAATGTGAGTGATGGGGGAGGGGTGGAGGCACCCAGCAGAAATGTTCCTTAACTTCCCCGTCAAAAAAAGAAGGAAGGGGGGGGAGGAAGGGAGGGGGAGAGGAAAAGAAGAAGGAGGGAGGGAAGGAAGGAGGGAAGGGAAAGGAAAGGGGAAGGAAGGAGGGAGGGAGGGAGGAAAGGAGGAAGGGAGGGAGGAAAGGAGGAAGGGAGGGAAGAAGGAAGAGAGAAGGAGGGAAGGAGGGAGGGAGGGGGGGGGGGGGGGAGGGGAGGGGAGGAAGGAAGGAAGGAAAAGCTTTTCAGTGGGATTTTGAGCCTTTGCCCAGTGTACCCGAGGCAGCCAATTCAACAGTAACAACCACTCCTTGTCTTTCATTTTAAAATATTTGGGGGATAAGAAAATTAAAACTTGTGTCACCCAAAAATGAGTAATCAGGTCTAAGGAGCTGAAAATTTGGTAAACTTGTCTTGTAAATGTGGCTAGAAGGGGATTAAGGATGAGGTACAGAGAGGCACGTGTCTTCGATTTTCTTTTATAATCTCCTTTGAACTCTTTGTGCTCAGATCTCCAATCCCTGGAGGAATTTACTCCAAGTTCTTGGGAAAGAGAATCCGATCCTTTTGGGATGTTTTGCTCCAAATGGAAATGAGTGGCTCCCTTCCTCCATGCTGATAAATCATGGGCCTAGTTATTATTTATTAGTTTTAGTTCTAAAGCAACCTTTGCCTGTGCTCTTAGGGCCATGAGCCACCATAAATAATGGGCACTTCCAATAAACAATCCAAATCTACTTGATAGGCCACTAAATCAG